AGAGAGAGAGAGAGAGACTTACCCGTCTCCAACCTGTTCCTCCCGCTTCCCGCCAGTCTCCATCCCCTTTCTTCCCGCTAGTCTCCATCCCAACCCCCATCTTTCCCAACCCTACCCGCGGACAAACCCGGAAGAGAGAGAGAGAGAGAGAGAGAGAGAGAGAGAGAGACTGACCTGCTTCTTGGGCGACGGCGGCGGCTGGCTGGTACGGCGGCGAGGGCTGGACGATGGCGGCCGCTTGGTGGTTCTTGGACGCTGGCGGCGGCTTCGTGTTTCGTCGGCGATGGCCGGAGGGCTGCAGGGGAGATGCGACGGGCAGCAGCCGGCGGCTTCCGAACAGCGCGCCCTCCAGACTCGAAAAACGGCCAGTTCGAAGTTCGAACTTCGAAAATGCTGGCCTCCCGCCACCCCACCTGAGTCTGCACAGACTATGGCGGGTCCGGCCTTCGACCTGTGTCCGGTAGGACCAAAAAAAGCCAAAAAATCGGCCTGGGGCCGACGAGGACCCGAAAAACGTCCTCCGAGGCCCCTTTTTTTTTTCCGAATTTTCATGGGGGGGGGCCGTTCCGGACGTCCAGGACCGGACACCGGACCCCTGCAAAATGTTTGGCGTTGTCTGGAAACCGGTCCGGACGTCCGGTCGGTTACCATGACTCTGAATCCCTCAGTGAATTTTATGAAAATATGCACAGGTTCAAGCATGCGCTGCTCCCCTTCAACCCCCGACCTCACTAGCAAAAGTGCCATGCACCCCCGACCCTCGTCTTGATGGTGCCACACAAGCTCTAATCGAAAGCACCACCTCTGAGTCTTGGATGAAGAACGTCCAGCAAATTGAACCACTGGTCTTCTCTGTGGCAGCTATGGCTGAACACTCTCCCAAAAAAAAAGGCTCCCTCTTCTCTCTCTTGTACCTATGTGCATCGGCACCATCTACAGGCTATGGCTACCAGTCTCTCTTACTCTAGCTATGGCAGCCTCTCATCTCTCTCCCTGCCTTTGTCCAGTGCTGGCACTTGAGCAGTCAGCGAAGTGACTTTTGGAGTCTAGAACTTCGACCTGACCAAAGGCTACGACCCCTGGGCATATCTGTGTGAATTTCATAGCTGTTCTAGTCTTCTAGAGACTTTTCAAAGTCTGTAGGACCAACTGTTGACCCCTGACCTTTGCTAGTACAACCCTTAGACTTTGCACCTCTGGTCTAACCCATCCTTGAGTCTGTAGGGGTCTGCATACTAGAGGACCAAAGCTCGTTGACTGAGACATATACTGTACCATATTCTGTAGGACTACGGACCATTCTGAGACACTGGGACCCTACAGACGTTTCCTCATGCCTAGCCTTGACTAAGACTTCGGATGCATGTTCTGTGCCGGGTCGTTCCATAAAACGAGATGTAAAAGAAAAAGTAGAAGAAAAAGTAAAAGAAACAGTACAAAAAAAAGCAAAAGAACAAGCAAATGATTAAAGAAAAATAAAGGATTAAGGAGAAAGAAACCACCAAGAATGACCGACCTATCTGAATCTGCAATTCCATGGTGACTGAAAACCTCCGCGGTGTCACTGACAACAGATTCATCCACTGACTTGCTTGCATAAAGTGTAAACACAGGCCCAGTTGTCCAAGGAAGATCTTCATTCAGCACTCTTGTGAACCTGCAAAATTGTGCAAATCCATGTGATAGCCAAATGTCGTAACATCAATTTTTTTTCTTTTCTCTTTGTCAGAGTTTGTCTCCCTTTTTTTTTCTTTTCTTTTCGTTTTTTTAAGAAAAGAAATGCGCTGGGGCTGGTACCTGAGATGACACGAGCATCCCCAGGTACCATCCCTCCCAGATGGCTCCTTTCTATTGGTGGGGAGCTGCACCTGCTGGAAAACGGGTCCAGCATCCCCTAAAGTGCATTGCAATGAGTATATGAAATCTTTCAGAAAGATAGAATAGCCAGATGCCACTTGTCAACCAAGCTCCCTACACATCAGAAATCTATCAGATCTTACCCCTCCCCTAAGGCATACCATTGCATATCAACCAGGGGGTGTGCGTACCGAATTGGTCACAGCGCACCATTAAATGAGAGAGTGCACCCTGGGGTCCGGCGTTTTGGGATTGCGTACAGGAGGGTGGGGGCAGTACTGTGCAGAGGGTGCGCTCAGGTGTTTGGGCTGGTTTGCACATCCCAAACTATGCTATCACCCTGTCGCCAACTGCTACCGTCCGTTACCCAGTCCCTTGCAGAATACAATCATCAGTGGTGTTCCATACATGCATTGGCACATGACAAGAAACATTTCACATTTTGGAAAGTACAGAAAAGCAAGGCAAACGAAATACATTCATAACAGCTCAATAGCGCAACCCATAAGTGGCCGTTTCAGAAAATATCATACATGTCAGTCATTGCGAGTGTGAGAGTGTACAGTTTTTGAGACGATGCATGCTATTAAATAAAAAAGCGGTCAACATGCATAGAAGAAAAGACACTGCCTTGTGAAACACACTGAATGGGGAACATTCCACAGACAAAGGAGACAAAGTTGTGCTAGTGAGATGTAGACAATCATAGTACCTGGGTGGGAAAAAAACTACGCGAACATCTAGATTCGAACAAGATGTGACATCAAATGCCGTACAAATGCTTGCTCGAACATGTGTTCCTTCTATCAGCATGGAAGATGCAATCAGACTCGCTTTCATTCACACTTCACATGCATGCAAACAGGTCGCGCAGCAAACTGGCGTCAAGCGCCCACTCAGAACTCAGAGATATGGTACCAAGAACGCAGCTCAAATACAAGTTCAATTCAAACGGCTATGGCGGATCATCGCCTGTACGACTCTCTGTTCGTCACTTACGCAACACTGCTGTTCGCACACAGGATCACCCTGGATATCCCACACGCAACACCCTGTACACTCGCACACACCCGCACACACCTACAGCTATGGCGGCTATGGCCGCTCTACTCTATCGCTATGGCTAACATCCTTCTCGCCCACTTCGTCCTTGGGCTCACTGCAGACCGCCTCGCACAAGTCGCTATGGCAGCGCTTCGGCATGGCTTACGCAGGAATGAATGAATGGCTGGGCGCTGCCTCTTGATTTATACTTCTGTAACTCGCTGGTCTGCCCTTTTCCATCGGCCCATGGTGCACACAGTCCCTCATGGTACTTGCTGGACAGGACTGGGACTGACTGGACCGGTGCCGCTGACTGCATGGGTTTGCACCGCAGACTCACTGCAGTCGCACTGCCAACGTACTGAGGTTGGCTCCACCACTTGCCCACTTGCCTCTGCCTAAACGTGAGCCCACTCCGAAGGCCGCTTCCGGGACCTTCCGGAAGTCTGTGGACTTGGCCTTTCGGGTACTGTAGCAGCTACGACCTTGACCTTTCAGGGCTGTAGCAGCTACGACCTTGACCTTTCAGGATCCCTACAGCTACGACCTCTACAGGGCTGTGACCCCTACTCGACAGACCTACAGATCGAACCCCTACCACTACACAGACCTACGACAGACAACAACAATTGTCAAAACACAGGTCACGGGTTCAAACACTCGGGGTCGACACAGATACTGTACACAGGTAAGGTGAGAACTAGGGATCGAGCCCTGGGATCTGCATCCACGACTGCTAAAAGGTGAAAACTGTTTCACTCCCGCCGGCCTAAATTCGTGGTCCTCCGAGAATAACTCAGTCCAAGGCAGGGCCTTTACCTTTCTTATCTCTCTCGTAGGCTCTAACTACATTGGGAGCTGTTTCTAGAAGTTCTGTTCTAGTAAACCAGCGGTCGTCCTCTGGTTCCTGATAAGCAAACCGAACTTTATACTGCTTCTCAGGACGACCTCTACCTCCTGTTCTAAACACGTCTTCACCTACAATGCCGTCAATGTCGTACCTTCCGTCCATGTCTGGAGGAATCATGGATCTTCTAGATGGAAATTGTCGACTTGTGACACACGGCAACAACTTTGAGGCATGAAACACAGGGTAGGTGTGGAGGTGTGCTGGGATCTCTACTGTGTAGGAAGGCCCATCCTCTCCGCCCTTAACTTCTAGAACTGGCCACGGTCCTCTATATGCGGGCAGTAACTTCTGCGAGATGTTTTCCTCAGGAGCAAACTCTTTAGACTTGACACAGACCAGGTCGCCTACTTGGAACTGTGACGGGCGACGGTGCTTATCAGCTTGTTCTATCATCCGGTGTTGGGCTTTCCTGAGGTTCTCTACCACGGTAGCTAACTCTTTCTCGTGCTGTAACGCAAACTCCCTAGTACCGGGCGGTAGCCTGTGAATCTGGTCCCGGTTAAGTCACTCAAACGGTCTACGGGGTTTGAAGGACTTGTGCCACTCATTGGGAGTGCGACAGGTGGACGAGTTGCACACTATTGTTATAGGCACTGGCTACCTTGGGCAACATCTCGTCCCAATTAACTTGATCTGGTCTAATGTACATTCGCAGAACTTGCTGCAGGATCTTGTTCATCTGTTCAGTCTGACCGTTAGTCTTTGGATGACGGTCAGATGACATCAACTTGGAGCCATAGACTCTCATCAACTCCTGCCAGTTCTGACTAGTGAACCTGGTGTCTCTATCACTAACTATAGACAGTGGAATCCCGTGTTCACTGACCCAATGATCGAAAAACTTCTGGATAACTAACTCTGTACGTGCCTCTGAGGGCGAAGGAACAAAAACAGCATATTTCCTGAATCTATCAACTATTACCATGACTTGGCTCTTGCCGTGCCTACTCTTGACATGGGTATCCATAAAGTCAATGGACACTGAATCTCCTGGCTGATCAGGAATAGGCAAGGGCTTGAGAAGACCTAGAGGGGCACGCCTGGAGGTCTTATTTCTCTGGCAGACCTTGCAACTGCGAACATACTCTATGCAGTCGGCCTTCATCCCAGGCCATATGTACGAGCGCATGAGGTTAGCTAGAGTCTTTTGCCAACCAAAATGTCCCTCGGTATTGTGGCATTCCCCTAGGATCAAAGTATGGATCTCCTCAATGTTAGGAACACACAATCGGTCAACTACATTAGTCTTCTCGAATAGCGGCTCATCAGTAGTGTGGTAGTATGGTTCGGACTTTGGGGCCTCCTTCACTCTCTTGAGGAGGTCACCATAGATAGGGTCCTGCGCATATGCCTCTCTAACTTTTTGCTGCAGGTCTCTCCCTATATCCAGATAATGAACTATTGCTCCAAAGTAGTCAGCTCTCCTACTCAGAGCATCTACAACTACATAATACTTCCCTTTGACTGGCTTAAGCTCAAAGTCATATTGGTCTAATTCTGCGGCCCACCTAGTAAGCTTAGGTGTCATCTTGGCCTGCGTCTTCAGCCACCTTAATGTCTCGTGGTCTGAGTAGACTTTGAAGTGCCTCCCAAGCAAGTAGTGCTTCCAGTGTTCTAATGCTTGCTTGAGAGCGTAGCGTTCCCTCTCGTAGGTAGATGTCGCTACCTTCTCTGAAGGCATCCTAGCAGACATGAACTCTACGGGTCTATATCCTTTGCCATCGTCATGATGTAATACAACACCTATGCCATACTCGCTCGCGTCAGTGGTAACGACAAAAGGTAAGGACGGATCGGCTACTTTAAGGACTGGGTACTCTATTAACGCCTGCTTCAACTCCTTCATGGCAGATGTGCAGTCCTTGTCCCACTTCCAGATTGTTTCTTTCTTCAGCAACCTGCGAAGGGGAGCAGCGATGGTGGAGAAGTTTCTGACAAACTTCCTGTAGTAGTTAGTTAGGCCTAAGAACGACCGCAACTCTGTCAACGTGCGGGGTGTAGGCCAATCTCTAATCACTGCAATCTTACTATCTCCTGTTTTGATGTTGTCTCCGTCTAAGACGTGGCCTAAATACATAACTTGGGTCTTTGCCCATTCGCACTTCTTTGCATTGATCTTGAAGTTGGCCTCTCTCAGCTTCTCTAAGACTTGCCTCAGATGACCCTCATGCTCCTGGAGGGTCCTACTGAACACTAGAATGTCATCTAAATAGACTAGTACAAACCTGTCTAACCATGGCCTAAACAAGTCATTCATACAACGCTGAAAAGTTGTTGGCGCGTTGGTTAGTACAAAGGGCATATAACTACAAACTCGTAGTGCCTATATCTAGTCTGGAACGCGGTCTTATACTGATCATCAGGATGGACCTCTATCTGATGATATCCGGACTTCAGATCTATCTTCGAAAAAATACTTGCAACCCTGCACCCGATCTAAAAGATCATCTATACGGGGCAGTGGCTCCGCATTCTTCACTGTGATAGCATTAAGACCCCTATAGTCGATGCATATTCTAAGCTCTCCCTCCTTCTTTGGGACAAATAGAACAGATGCTCCAAATGGAGACGAACTGGGCCTAATCCAACCCGTCTCTAGGAGTTCGTCTAACTGTTTGCGCAGCTCCAATTCCCGCGGGGACATCCTATACACTGCTCATTCAGGAGTCCTACTGCCAGGCTCTATCTCAATGCGATGCTGGATGGGCCGCGGGACTACCCCTGTAGGCGGCTTAGCTAGATCGGTGTACTCTTCCAGCAGTTTGGCAATGGCAGGATCTATGGGTTTTTCATCTTTAGGCTCAGTAACTGGCCTAACATAGGCTACAAAAACTTGTTCTTCTAGTTGTTCCTTCTTCACTAACCTCGCGAACGCAGGAGCGCTAAGGCAGCAATGTGCCAGGGAGTTGTCTACTCCTGACACATGAAACAGACGGGCAGTCTCGACCCCACCTGACGGGCTAGGGAGCCTACACTCGTGCTCTCTCAAATGGAGTTTGGCCCCTGTTGCCTCTCCCCAATCCATTCCTAGGACTATGTCAAAAGGAAGGCTGTCCTCTACGAGGAGAGTCATGGAATGGAGAACTTTTTCCACCTTCACATCCTTCTCTAGGCGAAAGTACGCCTGGACTCCCTCTACATAATCCTCTACTCGCATCGTGCAATTATCTGCGAGGATACTCACTATGGGGTCTGCTAACTTCTGGACTTTTAGGCCCAACTTCAACTTCTGCAGCGCCTTTCTACTGATATAGCTGCGCGTGGCCCCACTATCTACTAAGGCCCCTACTCTACCTCTGAAAATCTCTACATCTACTAAAACTAGTTGTCCTCTACTCTCCTTCATCATCTTGGCCCAGGCGGGCATCCTCTCCTTTAGGCATCGGCCTGCAACCTCTGCCATAGGCACATGTGGTGTGGGAGTTTCCTGTCGGCTCGCGCACATTTCCCCACATGGCCTTATGGTAGGGGTAGTTGTTACCCCTACCGGCGGCTGCCTTTTGACCCCTGGGCAGCCCATCGGGGCTCTCTATACTTTCAACATAATTTAATGATGTGGCCAGGGTCACCGCAATATATGCACTGCCCCTGGTCCACATGCTGTTGCCAGACGCGTTGGTCCATGCCCAAATCTTCCCAAGGCCGGCCCTGCGGCAGACCTGGGTGCCAGTTTCCTCTCCTATAGGGTGACCTATTACCCCTATTTGGTGACCTATTTCCAAAACGGTTTTGCGGGGGACCTTGACCTCTTCCTCCCGCTTGGCGGTTTCCTCCTCTACCACCAACCCCCTGATCGCCCTGGGAATGGCCCCCTGAGGCCCGGCCCCCTTGGCCCTTGCCTCTACCTCCTCCTTGCGGCCTCCCTCCGGTCGCGACAGCAGCGTAAGTCCTCCCCTGGCTAATGGCACTGTCCTTCTCCTCTAGTCCCCACTCAATCTGCTCGTCGGGGACTTCGTCGACACCACCCTCATCTAATGTAAGGATCAAACGATCCTTGGTCTTGACCTGATCCGAGATGGTGCGACCCTTCCACTTTTTGCCCTTATCCAGGTCCTTATGCCAAAAAGTGGAAATTGGCATGGACCTTGTTTCGAATGCTAAAACTTCTCTGCTCAAAGTGTCATAAGTCATGTTGGGCTGCTGACTCTTTTCGAAGAAACGCCCGCGTAACTGCTCGGGCATAGCACGATAGAAAAGGTTGACCAATTGGGTCTTTGTGACCCCATGGTCCGGGATGGCGACTAACTCGGCCATAATGCCCTTGAGTGCCCTGGCACTCTTCCACTAGCGGGAGTGGATGGTTTGCAGCCTATCAAAGGCTTTGACACTACGCGAGACGTCTGCAAATCGTTCCCTTAATAACTTAAGAAAATCATTGAGGGGCGTGAACGCAGAATAGGCAATGAGATCATCGTTGCAGTTGGCGGCACGACACAGGGAACGGGCGAAGCTTGCTGCTTCCTCCCTAAGAGCGTGAATAACTATTAGGACATGCTCATTCGGGGCGACTTTCTGCAGGTGCACGTGCGTCTTGATATTGGTTTCCCAATTATCAAAATTTTCTTCCTTCTTCCCGCTATAGGAATCAGGGAACTTGACCTTGACCGGCTCCCTACGGGGACGTGCTTCCTCCTCCTTGGGAGCAGTCAATTTGGCGCCTTCTATGGCGCCCGTACAATAACGTTCCGTGCCCTCTAGGCAGGCCCTCACCTCTGAGCCCACCTGCGTCGCCAATTCCCTGGCGAAGCCCCGGAGCCCCAGCCATATAGAGCATAAGGCAATGTCCTGACCTCTACCAAACAGATATTGCTCTTCTTGGACCTGTGCCAGGCGCTCTATATTTCTCGCCATGATCTCCATCTTCCCCAATAGGTCCACCTGCGTCGCCATCTGCTGTCTCTGCTTCTTTACCTCCGCTAATTCTTTCGCCGCCTACATTCTTCTTTTCCTCTCCCTCTTCAATCAGAACTTCCACTCCATCCTCTTCTCATCTTCTATGGCCTACCGCTTGAGTGGGTCTTCTTCTGCATCCCACTCTCTCATGGTCGCCTCTTGTTCTTCCCTGGGCACATACATTAGGGCCTCCTCTTCTTCTCCCAGGGACAAACCAGCAACCCACTCCGTAATCTTCTTCTCCATCTGGTCTTCCTTTGTTCCACTGGATTCTCCTCTCTCTCGTCCTTCGCCTTTCCAGTGGTTGTTCTTCTACCTCTTCCTCCTCTTCTACCGCCCTGAGCTTCTCTTCTTCCTCTCTTTTTAATCTTTCCTTCTCTCTGGCCATCTCCTCCTCAATCTTTCTCAACTTCGTCGCTTGTTCCTCCATCAGGGCCTTCTTCTTGGCCTCTTTCTTTTCTCTTCTCTCTTTCAAGGTGGCGACAGCTTTCGCCTCTTGTTCTACTGTGTAAGGGGAGGTGCTCCGGCCACTACGCGTGTCAACCATGGTGAAAGGTGCACAACCAAGTGACAGTCCCGCTCCTCACCACTTAGACTCTCCCCCTAACTGACTCAACTTAAGACTGACTCAGTCTATGGACCACAGGATCCGTATGGAACCCTGTTAACTATGGTCTCTAGCCTAGACTCTAATACTACAACCGTCACTACAGGATATGTTGCTGACCAGGAGGCATTTAAGGAGATCCCCCGTAACTCCTCAGGAATTCTTTAACGTCGCAAACAGGACGACGCGGTCAGCAGATCCTCTCAAGACTTAGACGGCCCGTTGTGCAGCCCAGAGCTCGGATTTTGGGCCTACCGTGCCACACCGAGCAGCCCGCCGGTCAGTACCGGTCCTTGGGAGGGTTCGTGTCCTCCGGGACGGTCGAGTTGTCAGACACAGTCTTTAGCCCTACTCAGCCCGTGTGGGTTTGGTCAACGAGGCCCTATCCTTCATAAACGGAGTCCTATCACCTGGACAGAAGAGACCCAATGCAGAAAGAAAAGACAGACAGACTCAGACTCAGCAAGTACCATAGGGTGAGTGCGCATATATAGGGCGAGGGGATAGGCTAAGGGTTTGGCGAGATTATACCAACTCCAGCTCGGTCAAAATTGTGGTCAAAATTGTGGTCAACAGCTCGGTCAACGCTTGGTCAACGCGGTCACACCCCGGTCAACGCTCCGTTCAACCCTCTGGTCAACGCCCGGTCAACCTCTAGGTCAGCTATGGCTGCTGGCACCTTCTTCCTCGCCAGCTGCGTTCTCTTCCTTCTCCACCTTTCTTCTATCTCGCCCCTTTCTTCTTCTCTATTTTTTATTTTTGTTCACTCTCGGCTATGTCTGTCTTCAACTTCGTTATCCTTCCTTCCTCCTCCCTCTGCGATCTCTCCTCCCTTCTCTACTTCACCTTCCTCTCTCCTCCGTGTCCCGAGCTCCGCGGCTATGGCCGCTACTTCGTCTTGGACTGCACAACCAATCTCGTATCACTCAACTCACTCTCTCCGTGGTGATGTCTTCAGCGCAGGTGCGTAGCGAACCAATCTTGTTTTGCTAAGTTCTCTCTCTCTCTCTCTCTCTCTCTCTCTCTCTCTCTCTCTCTCTCTCTCTCTCTCTCTCTCTCTCTCTCTCTCTTCTTCTTGGTCGTTGTCTTCCTTGTAGGTACGCAGCACCTTCTTCCGCAGCGAAGCTATGGCGGACTTCTTCCTCACGGTGGTGCTCTTCAACTATGGCGCGCGTCTCTCCTGCTGCAATGGCGATGGCGCATGGGATAGCGGGTACCAGCTCCGATACCGGTGCAATCAGACTCGCTTTCAGTCACACTTCACATGCATGCAAACAGGTCGCGCAGCAAACTGGCGTCAAGCGCCCACTCAGAACTCAGAGATATAGTACCAAGAACGCAGCTCAGATACAAGTTCACTTCAAACCGCTATGGTGGATCATCGCCTGTACAACTCTTTGCTGTTCTCACACAGGATCACCCTGGATATCCCACACGCAACACCCTGTACACTCGCACACACCCGCACACACCTACAGCTATGGCGGCTATGGCCGCTGCAACTCTATCGCTATGGCTAACTTCCTTCTCGCCCACTTCGTCCTCGGGCTCACTGCAGACCGCCTCGCACAAGTCGCTATGGCAGCGCTTCCACATGGCTTACGTAGGAATGAATGAATGGTTGGCTGCCTCTTGATTTATACTTCTGTAACTCGCTGGTCTGCCCTGTCCCATCGGCCCATGGTGCACACTGTCCCTCATGGTACTCGTTGGACTGGACTGGGA